GGCCGAACGCCGCCGGCGCTCCGGGCTGTCCGGGGGCGGCGTCGGGCCCTGGCCCCGCCCCAGCAGCAGATCCCGGGGGCTGAAGTGACCCGTCACCGGGGGCGAGCCGCGTTCCATGGCCGCCCCGTTGCCGTGGTAGTCGGTCGAGCGGCCCAGCGGACGGCGGAATAAGCCCTCTGTCCGCTTCCTCCTGTGACGGCCGCAACGGGATGGCGTCGTTAGTCACGACTTGGACTGGGCGGCGTGCCGTGAAACTAGCCGTGAATACAGCAGAATCAGAAAATGCCTGTTTCTGATTGAAATCCCTTTTGAAATAGCCACCGAACACCCGATCCTTAACGTTCCTGGTCATTTGAATCACGTGTCGGAGGAGGGACATAGCGGCCCTCGATGGAGCGCACCTGCGCGCCCCCGGCAGAAAGCTCGCAGGCCTCGGTTCCTACCCGCAGAGCTCGCTGGATATGCCTCGCCCCGATTTTCAGTCTTCTCTGCTCTGCGACTTTTGCGCTCAGGCCAGTTGAGAAAATACCTGTGGTATGACTCTGGCGGTCGGACGTCGGGCGGCGAGCGCAGGTCTCGGGTGGACCTCTTGTCCTCGGTGCTGCTGCTCCCGCCGTCGCTGTCGGCTTTTTGGCTCAGCGCGTCCGACGCGGCGTCACCCCTAAACAAACCGACGTGACCCGTCAGCCAGTATCGCTCGTCAGTTCAGTGATGGCTAGTCATTAGTGACAAGGGAGTTTGTCAGAAGCCACTTAGGCTGCCCGGCCAATCGGATTCATTTCGAAATGTCAACGCGCCATTTAGCCAGAGGCGGGTATTCGGTCACACGCAAAAATGGAGACGTCTGAAGTCTCAACCTTTCGACTGGAAGTGACTGTGGCAAATTTCAAGTCAAGTCATTAGTTAGCAAAGTGAATCCAGAGCTTGGTTTGGAAATGTGAGTTTGAAGATGATTGCTGATAACACGCAAAGACTGCGAACGATGGCGGACTCGGTTGTGGATATGTACACCATTGAATCCGTTCTCACCGGTTCAGTTTTCCAGATTTATTTATTTATTTTTTTTGCGGGCATTGCAAAAACGGTGAGGAGCCACCCTCACCCACTTTGCCTTTTTTCTCAACAGCAATCATCCGCTGCCTTTGCGACCTGCACTTGGCTTCCGAGAGATGCCTCTACCCAGAAAATTGATTTCTCTTTTTCTTCAGACGGTCTGCTGGCGTGGCGACTTTCGAGAGAACCTCCACTCGCCTGTCCTTCACCACGATGTACTGATGAGGCACCAGGCCGCGGTTGCCGTTGTGGTGCCCTTCCCACCAGTCGTTGGAGGCGCGCTGGTAGAGGAGCAGCGTGGCCCCCTTGTTGAAAGACAGCTCGCGGCCCGAGCGGCCCACGTAGTCGAACCTCGCCACCGCCTCCACCGCCTCGCCCTCTGCAAGGGAGACCACGTTCAAGGCTTTTCATTCACACGCAGAGAGAAAAAAAAAAGAAGAAGTGGGGGCGGGAGGAGGAACGGCTGTTGCCATGGCTGCCGTTGCTACGGCAACAGAGCTGCGCCGTACCCTCGTCGCTGGTCTGGGTCTCGGTGCCGGCGTCCGGCTCCGTGTCTTCCAGGGCTCCCGGCTCGCTGAATGGACTCTCGCTGTTGGAAGTGAAGGTAGAGTAGAGGTCCTTATTTTGTCCTTTTTCAAAAAGTGGCGCATGGATGCGTGCGTTGTAACCATCAGGCGTGTTTGCAGCAGTGCGGGGCAAACGGCGATCAGCGGAGTTGTTTGGAAAGCCCTTCTTCAAATTAGCTGAGGTCAACAAACACAATGGAAGGCTGGGAAGCCTCTCACCAGTACTGCTCGCCGGTCATGCAGGTCTCGTAGAGCGGCCCCGGCAGCTCCTTGGTGTCTGGGAAGATGTTGTCGTGGTGCAGGATGACCGTCTTGACCACCTCGTTGACGTGCGCCTGGCAGGCCACCTGGTCGAGCGAGTCCGGGGTGGGCAGCAGAGTCGGCCCGAAGACGATGGCCAGGTTCCCGGCGTCCATCATGTTCTCGTCGCTGTACTTGGACAGGCTGGGAGGGGGGGGGGCAAAGCCCGATCGAAAGGACGCGCTTGGACAGGAAGGAGCGGCGGGGAGTGCAACTTACTGGTTGAGGAAAGCAAAGAGGTAGCGCATCACCACCAGCGTGGCCCTCGGCACCCCCAGGAGGATCTTTTGGATGCACTGGGCTCGCTCGTAGAGGTTCTCCATTCCTGCGCACCGAGAGATTTCCCGTTTGGAAGCCTGAAGATTTTGCAGCCAGAAAAATCCAACCGGTTGTATACGTCTCGGGGAGGGAGGGGGCGGCCGTTTTGCGACTTATAACAGGGCCCTCCTCAGTAGGAGATGGGGAAGGAACCCCCGGTACTCAGCTGGCTCTTTACTTTTTGACACGGTTCATAACCGACAATATAATCAGAAAGCCCACCCCAGCCCCTCCTGCGACGAGTCCCGCCCGGATGTCGAGTGCGACACTCACGGACGCAGGCGATGAGGTCGTTGAACCTGTCGCTGGGAAAGAGCGGGTTCCCCAGGCCGCGGAAGTACAGCTTCAAGACCCCGGCCACCGAGTTGATGTCGCGGTTGCTTTCCTCGTCAATCAGCGGGTCGTCGCCTGGACGCGAGAGCGCCCGGCAAGAGCC